GCGCGCCCGCGGCCCCCTCCTCCTCGCCTGCGAGGGGCTCCCCTGTCCTCGCAGGTGACTCTGTGGGCCCTAGAAGGAGATAGGGCTGTGGGCGGTAGGAATAGAGGTCTGCGCGGTGCCTCTGGGGCCCCTCCGGGCTACGAGGGACAGTCCCCGAAACCGGCTCGGCCAGAAAGTTTGCACTGGAGCTGGCACCGCGGCGCTTGCAGGCGCGCAGGTGCATCCGGGGCGCGTTCAAGGCTCCAGTGGGCTTCCCTCTCTCCTCTCGCTCCTTCTCTTTGTCCGTTTGGTCTTGCGAAGGGGGATATTCCAAGTGGAGGCCTCCGGAATCCCCGACGACCTCCTTACTGGTCCGCAGGTGGAGCGGCTGTAGCAGCGCGGGTAACGGGCAGATGAGGGGGCTCTGCCCGCGCACCTCGGAGCTCGCCCCGGCCTCGGGAGACTTCCTGAGCCGCGAGTCCGGAGTCAGTCTGGGCACCTGGACTCTTCCTCCTCAGCGTCCACCGAGGGAGGCCTGTGAGCCTGAAAAGTTAGTGCAATATTTTGTGAATAGGTGTATTTTTCTAGGGAGCAAAATATCATAGCTTTTGTTATACTCTCAAAAAGGTTTGGATCAGGGAACCAGAGCTTTCTAATGAGTGTACGCTGCATCTATTTCTGAACCCTGCACGGCTTTGGAATGAGCATGACCTATTCCCAGTATACCTCCTGTCCATTCTGTAGTTTTAACTTGGGGAGCAAGGGGGTGTTTAAGATATCATTTCCCCCATCAATGCAAATGCCCTTTTAAGAGTTATTAGCAGTCTGGTTTTGAATTTTTATTCCTTTGAAGTCTCCATCTAATCCTTTGAAGGGACTTGTTACACAAGACCAAAGGAGCTAGTTAATGTCTTGTCCATTTGTGCTTTTAAGAGGCATTTGTTGTATTTTTTCTTTTCCCTGCTTTAGAAGAACTGTGCTTTCCGGCTTGAAGAGCCACCCTTCCTAATTTCAGCCTTCTGTGGTGTTTATTTACCTGGGTTTTACCCTCTGCTACCAGCATAAAAACTCAGCAGGTTCCCATAAAGCACAGGAAGTACCAGGATCCAATGAGAATATAAACATCACTCTTCCGTCTTGAAGGTTAAGACTCCAGCTACACAAGGAGCAAGACTTGTAACAAAGACCCAGTTTCCTTAAACAAATTCTCAGGAGAAAAATAACATTCCCTTAAAAAAAAAAAAGTAGAAGGCCTTGCAAACAATGGATGTAATGCATAGTTAACTTTTTTATAGTCCTAGAATGACAACTGAGCTCTGAATTTTTCGAGATCAAGCTAGACCGTAGCAATACTGTATGTGAACGGTGGAATGGATTGGTGTCTTACTGACTTTTCCATTGGCAGTGCTTAGCCCCAAATCCTTTTATGAGAAGGTAAATCTGGACGGTTTGGTCTCCTACAGGTAGTTTGCTCCTTTCCAAAGTTTGTGCTTTTCCCCTGAGGTTAGAGAACCGAAGCATCCTAACTTCATAGCACAGTGGGAAGCTCACATGGGAGGATCTTGGGGCCCTCTTTCCTTCCGTTATGTTCCCCCGAAGGCAGGTTTTTAATTGAAGGGCGACAAGCTGGGTGAGACATTGCTGCCGCACCCCACCCCAGAAATTGTCAGGAAATGATCCCGGAAAGCCAGGCGGATCCAAGTGGTACTCCAGTGTAATATTTAGGATAGGCTCTGGGGAAGTGTCACATAGTAATTTGAAGGTGGATCCTACTCATTCATTGTCTTGGACTGTCTACCTAAGATGATGCGGTATTATCATTTACAGCAAAAAGATAGGTGGTGCCATTGTCCCATCTGGGTCTTTCTCTGCCTTGTCCCGGCCCATCACCAGGGCTCCCTTTGGTTTCCGTTACGTCTGCAGCTACACAGATGCTTGACTGTGCTTGCTCCAAGCCAACTGGGGTCATTCCAACCCATCTTCAGAGATGCCTGGAGGCTTGCCTAGGTACATACAAGTGATGAGTGTAGGCAGAAGAGAGTCAGAATTCACGAATAGAGAGATGGCCATGCAATCGGTGGCCCCTGCTGCCTCCTTTCCAGGCGGTTTTGACCAGTTAAGTGTAAATTCTCATTTTTCACGGTTGGTTGGCGGCGGCAGTGTTGGAGCATCCAGGGTGGCTGAGATTCCTTGCACACGTGTTTCTGGAAGCCCAGAGTAAGCATAGGCTGTAGAAAAGAGAAGCCAGCCTGGATTGATACCCGTGGACGGGCCAGGGGTATCAGTTATTTTTCAGACGGAAGGCTGGAAGTTCTTATGTGTCATCCACAGAAGCAAAAACTACTCACTCATTTCAGGTGTTTTCCATCCAGCAAACTGGTGTGAGCATTACACTTCCTCATTCTAAAGGAAGATGAATCTCATATGCCAACTGTAACCGTAGGTTTACAATTATTCTAAGTATCGGTTCTTTACTGGATAGAGTCGCCTGCAGTTGTCAGAGTTCGTTGAAACCTGGATTCCTGGGGCTGGGGATTTAGCTCAGTGGTTCTGTAGCCTGCCTCACAAGTGCAAGGGCCCAAGTTCGATCCCTGGTACCAAAACAAAACTATACAAAACATGGATTCCTGGGGGTCTCATGGTCCCTAAGTATAATGGGTGCTTCGTGGACACAAGGTCACCTGGTAAAAGTGCCACCTAGAAGTAGGAGGTATGTATTTATAGCTCTGTGCTGCCCAAGAGGAGACTCCTTTCGGGAATTCCATTGCTAGGAAAAGGGCCTCAAAAAACAGATCTTTTAAAACTATGTTTGTATTTGTCTAAAGGTCTAGAAATTATTTGTTAATTAGTACAAATCAGCAAGTGTTTTCCCCTGAGTGAAGCAGTGGGAACAAGAGGCTGTTTGAGTGGCCTTGTGATGCATCCTGGCTCACTATGACCACATTGCCTGGATTGAGATTTCTGCATCGCTGTGTTTTCTACTCTTTTTAAGATCATTGTTTTTGCTCCCTTCCTACTCACCCCCCTCCCCCATTAACTTTTTCAGCTTTGCTGTTGTAAAAGTTTTCATGTGGGGAAAGGAAAGGCCAACTGATGTACTTTATCATTTGACTGCAGTCATCTTAATATCTGGGGTTTCCCACAAAAAAATTCAGTAAGAAGGTTGGGATGCAGAATTATGGTTTAATAAAATAAGGAGAATTCCTACTAGATCCTAATAGGAGCTTTACTTTGGAATGAGAAACAACCTAACATAATCTGGGCTACTTTTTCCTTTTTTTGTAGCTTCTTCTGTGCATTGGGAAGGGCTTGAGGTGGACCTGCATGAAGAGTCAGTAGGGACTTTACAGCACTCTGGGTAGTCAGATGTCCTGACAGCGAGCCCCTCTTTTAGCCTCAAGTGCCTCCCCTGGAGTTAGCCAGTGTCTTTGGTTGTGGGTACAGAAAAAAGAGAGAGGCCTGGGAGGAAAGAGGAGTTTGAGGAGGAGGTGGGAAAAGGCAGAAGGGAGACCAGAGGTTCCCACAATGGTGTTGGGCGTTGGGCTGTGGGTGGGGTCCTAGCGCCACCTGCAGGCCTCTAGCACACTCCTGTCTCAGGTTTTTGTTTTTTGGCACTGGGGATCGAACTCAGGACTTTCCGCTTGCTAGGCTGGCGGTGACACCACTGAGCTAGATCCCTGGCCCGCACCTTTCTTAACCGAGGTCGGTTAGGGTTCTCTGCAAGCTGACCACGGGGGTGTGTCGTCTCACCCAGTCTCCTTCTGTTGCTGAAAGACGGTGGATTGAGGCTCCCTGTTTGGCCCAGAGCGATTTCTGACATCTGTGAGCTTGTCCCTAACGCTTGGCCTCCTCCCCAGGGAACCAGTGGATGAGGTGCTACAGATCCCTCCATCCCTGCTGACATGCGGTGGCTGCCAGCAGAACATCGGGGACCGCTACTTCCTGAAGGCCATTGATCAGTACTGGCACGAGGACTGTCTCAGCTGCGACCTGTGTGGGTGCCGGCTGGGTGAGGTGGGCCGGCGCCTCTACTACAAGCTGGGCAGGAAGCTCTGCCGGAGGGACTATCTCAGGTACCTGCCCCACACTCCTGGGTGACTTCTGGGTCTGGGTGTGTGGTCCCCAGCCTCAGAGGAGAGTCAGCTACACCGTGGCTCTTCCTCCTGCTGAGATCCTCTTGTGAGGGACACATTCTTGGGTGATAAAATCCTATTTTTTTCTAAAGTAAGGAGGATAAACGAAGTCCGAATAGTGGTGGGCTGGGGGGTACAGAGAGAATCACAGTATCTGGGAATGTTTTGTTTGGAGTATATTCTTAGGAACTCACTGAAATGCTTCAAGACATGTGAGGTGTGACTTAAAATATGGTGAATATTTAAATTAGGAAAAAGTATTACAGTAAGAGCCACATTGCCCCTCTCACTCCAAACTCACTTCTCCCATCACTGTTGCCACTTTCTGAAGGAGTTCGGCGCGTCTGTTTTCATGACTGTCTTCAGTTGTCCTGGCCTGGCTGCCTCCAAGTCCTGAGTTGATTCAAAAACATTTATCTTCAGGGTCATTTCATCTTTGAGGAAGGGCCAGAAGCTGTACTGTGCCAGATCTGGTGTAAGAGGTGGACAAGGACACACCGCAATATTTTTATTTCACAGAAATTGCTGTAGATGCTTGGAGTCCGTTCAGGACATCGAGACAGCCACAGAAAGTCACAAAAGAGGACCAGAACCGCTTCAGAAAGGGGCAACAAGGGTGGGGTAATTTGTTTGAAGTGAGGGGAGAGTATTTTGAGGGGAATTCATGATAATGCGCCTTTTACTGTGATGAAGTTTTACAGTGTAAATGTTACATGTATTTTGATCACCCCTTGTATGTAGCCAGGTACAGTGGCACATGTCTGTACTCCCAGCTGTTTGGGGGGCTGTGGCAGAGCAAGACTGGGTCTCAAAATTAAAAGGTCTGTAGCTCAATGATTTCTCTGGGTTCGGTGTCCCATGCTACTCCCCAAAAACATAGATACCATAGGTTATAAATATTATATTGTGTTAGAGCCGGGCGTGGTGGTGCATGCCTGTAATCCCAGCACTTGGGAGGCCGAGGCAGGAGGATCGCTGTGATTTTAAGACCAGCCTGGGCTACATCGTGAGTTCCAGGTCAGTCTCAACTACAAAGCAAGACCCTGTCTCAAAAAACAAAAAACAAACAAACAAACAAAAAAACTATATGTGTGTGTGTGTGTGTGTGTGTGTGTATTATATTGTGTTAGTCCAATAATACGTGATGAGAAATATAAAATTAGAAAGCATTTTCTTGCCATGGAGCTCCAGGCATTGACTGTCATAGTAGGAAGGTGGTGTTCAGTGGACAGAAAGGCAGGAGCCCTGGAGGCAGGAGGAGGCTAAGTCTCCACACTGTTGCTTCGTAGCTCTTTGATCTTGAGCAAGTTATTTAACCTCCATGAGCCTCAAGTTCTTCGTCTGTTAAGTGGGGAGAGTAACAGTGTCTACTTCCAAGGAGATGAGAGGATTCATGGAATTTTACACGGGAGGTACCTTGGTGCATGAGTATCAAGTAGAGGCTGGCCGCTTTTCTGACTTACCTGGAGGACAGGCTCATGAATTACCTTCTAATCTAATGGACAGCGAGATGGAAGAGTGGAAGGATGGAATAGAGAGTCTTACAAGTCCAAGTGAGGCTGGAGCTGAGGATGCTACCCTGCACTGGGCCATAGGATTGTCCGGGTACACTGCCTGACAGTTTCACACTCACCACCGAGGTAGCTCAGTGCTCTCCCCGGCCAGAGCTGCTGAGCTGTGGAGCTGCAGTTCCTCTCCATCTTCCTGTGGCAGAGGCCCCTGGAGCACGCAGCCTTGATACACTGGGCCCGTCCAGCCCGCAGAAACTGGCATAGACTTCATCGTGCTTGGCTACCGGGACAGCTCTGCTGCCCTAATCTGCCCTCAGTGCATTTCACATGGTTTTTACCCCCGCAACACCCCCAAACTGCAGGTAAATTCCACACTGCAGGAAGCTTATCTACTTACCCTTTTTCTCCTCTCCCAAATTCCTTGATAAAGTCCTTGCAGATTTAGTGACTCAGAAAAATGTAAGTAGGATTCTTTTTCAGGGATCGTGATTATAATTTTGGTAGATTTCCTTTTTATTTTCTTTAAATCACAAGAAACTAGAACTGGGATAAATACAGACCTGGTTTTGCTCACTCCCAGGCTGCCAAATCAGTCAGAAAGCAGACAGGTAAATGATTCCCACTGGGCTCCTGACTACACCCCTGTCGAATCATTTGAATCTTATTAAATGGAGTGCAGATACAGTAAGGTCAAAAGAGCCGGGTTTCTCTCTGTCTCTACGGTTTTCTATCATATCCAAGAATAAAACCAGTGCTGCCTGGGCTTGTTAATCTTTTCCATTTTCAAAAAGGAGGGAAAAAAATAGTCTGGGAGAACCCAGTGTTAATTAACTTGTGTCTTGGTGACATGAAATAATTCTTCTCCCTGCCACATCCCTAGGAAACATGTTAATTAACTCTGTGTTTGTGCGAGCCTTCCTAGCCATCCTTTAATATTTGTATTATTGTTATTAAAATGGGCAGCAGAAAGCTTTAGACCTGACGCCTCTTGACAGAGGAGAAAAATTATTTTTTGCTTCAGCGATGGACTTTAAAAATTTGCATTCTTAGCCTATCTGGTGGTGTCTTCTAACAAGGCGAGTCAGAGGAGAGACTCGGTAATCCCTCATGGGGTCCAGTCCTTGTCTTCTCTGGAATAACTTCTCCCCATGAGGATTCCCTGAGGCTGACTTACTTGTCGCCATCCTCTTCAGATATTTAGTCTCCAGTATTCATGAGCCCCCATATGGAACCTAACTCTGGTCACTGTTGTATTGTTGGGAAACCTAACTTTAGCTATTAATGCTGATGCTCAACCTAGATCTCCTTAGATCTGGTTTGTTATTGTTGCCAGTTTTGGGGTGCGTCATCTCCAGGCCCCCAGTGGGGGTTTTTCCTTTTTATTTATTTTTGGTACCGGGGATCGATCTCAGGTCCTTGCACTTGTGAGGCAGGCGGCGGAACCACTGAGTTACATCCCCAGCCCTTCTTTTTTTTTTTTTTTTTTTTTTTAGACAGGGTCTTCCTTTGTCCTTCAGGTTGGCCTGAAACTCACTATGTGTCTCAGGCTGGCCTTGAACTCCTGGCAGTCCCAAGTACTGGGATTACAGGCGTGTTGCCCCATCTAACCAGCACCTGTTAGCGCCAGAAGTGTCCGGCCTTACCAGACCCCAGGGCCGTAGGAGTCCCAGAGCCCCCAAGCCTGGCCTGGAGCCAGGGCTACTTGGAGACGTGACTTAGCGACTCCGAGGTCCCAGGGCATCTGACTGAAGCTCTCTCTGCGGGATTCCGGCTGAGACTGAAACTTGGCTTCACCCCCTTCCGCCCAGCTCCCCCTTCTTCATCCTTCATAAATCACTCGCGCAAATCTGCCCACAGGGTCTGCTTCTGGGACATCCCACCTCAGGGAGACACTCACCCTTGGCGCCGGCCTCCAGCTCAGCATCAAGGTCTGCTTGTTTTCACTCCTGTTAGGATCACAGAGTCCCTTCAGTGGGCTTCTCTCCCGGTTCTCTTGGTTCACAGCCTAAGCCACACAAGCCCAGAGAGGAGATGCCATTTTCTCAGGCCACCTGGCTGTTTTAGAGGTGATGGGGACCCGGACTTGTCTCCCAAATCTCAGTGCTGTCTCCTTCCCTTCATTAGCTGCCCGATGTGCTGTGAGTGGGGTAGGATCAAATGTCCTCCCCGGCTGATGAGTCTGTTCCCGGGCAGTGCTGGGAAGCACTTGGATTCCTCTGGTGGAAATCAAGAGTCAGAGGGAAATGAGCTGGCCCAGTGCTAACACCAGCTCTCTACTCACAGAGCCGCCCACCTCTTCTCCAGCCGGCCCAGTCTTTCTGCCCAGATGTTGCAAAATCTGATAGCTGCCCTCACCTCTCTTATAGTCTCCCAGGAGGAAGTGATCGACCCGCTGATTTTGTACAGTTAAGAACGTCCAGTAAGAACAAGCACTGACCTAACTCTGTCGTAAGGGTTTTATGTGCTGTGTTACCAGCCAGTTGTGCAGAGGACCCTGTAGGAAGGCCAGGGCGGTGGGGGTTACACCGAGATGTGTGCAGAGCTGGTGCTGGCCTTAGTCCTTGAGCACCAGCACTCGAACCTGCCCTGTTTAGTGCTTGCAACAGCTGTCAAGGTAGAGAGATGTGTTGCTGCCCCGACCAGGCACTCAGGTACCCGAGGCTGGTCCTGGACTGTAGAGCTGGGTCTTCTGGCTCCAGCACCTGTGTCACCGAACTCCTGCAGGCTCCTTCTCAAACGAACCCTGCGTCAGTGTCGTTAGTTTGCAGTCTGCTGACCCTCATCCCCTGTGTCTCCAGCAGGTTTTTTGAGACATGGTTTACTCTGTAGTTCAGGCTGGCCTTGAACTCACCGTGTAGACCAGGCTGGTCTCAAACCCACAGTGATCCTCCTGCACCAGCCTTTTGAGTGCCGGGATAACAGGCACGCACCGCCATGCCCTATGGCAAATTTGTACTTCTGACAAGTTCTGGGCAATGCTGATACCACTGCTCTCTCTGGGGACCAGACTCTGAGAACCACCGCACTGACCTCTACCAAAGTTGTATCTCCCGCCCCAACACGGAATATTGCTTGAAATAAGTGGATAATCCATGAAGGCCAAGGACAAACTTGATTTAGCCTTTTGGAAGAGAGGTTTCCTGGAGATTTGTGTCAAACGGCAGGGAGGACCGTGAGTGAAGATCTTCTGCTCATTGTGGAGAGAGGCTGTTGGCCCCAGTCCCTGAGGCACAACTGCTTGGGAACTCCATCTCTTGGCCAGCAAATGGCCAGGAGGAACTGGGCTTTTGTGCTTGAGGGGGAATCCAGGGCCAGTCTCCCTGTGGAATTGGTGGCTGTTGGCATGGTAGAGTTGGGAGCCTTAGAAAGATATCTGTTTCTATTGTAGTCCTGATCAAACCTGCATCACATGTGTTTTTTTTTCCCTCATTGAGTTTGTTGGTACATTTTAGGTATACAGCACAGTTACATTCATCATTGGATCTTGTACCTTTACATGACAGGTCTTGGTTCTCATTTTTTCCCCCTTGTCCCTGCCCTCCCTTCACCCTCTCTTCTCCTCCCCATTTACGAACACTTCATTTCCATTTTTTCATTTTCTCGTATTTTTTTCTTTTCCCTTATTACCTTCCCCTCCCTTCCCACTTTTCCTACACCTTTATCCCCTTTCTTCCTATTTCACATTGTCCATTATATCATTAGGATCTTATGTACTATTATAGTTTATTCACACCAGAGAAACTATTCGGTATTTATCACGTGTGTTTTTTGGTATTGAATATTGAACTGGTTACATCTCCAGCTCTTTTTTTTTTTTTTTTCAATTTTGAGACAGAGTCTCACTGAGTCACCGTGTTGCCCAGGCTGGGCTAGAACTTGCGATCTTCCTGTCTCAGCCTCCCAGAGTGCTAGGATCATAGGTGTGTGCCACTTCACGCTTCAGTTCTCCCTGAAAGGGGCCCCAAGGACTCTCTTCCAGTTCCTCTTCTACAGTGAAAGTTCCCCTGCAGGGGCGCACACACTACATTTAACCCCTAATCACAAGTCACTTGGATGAGTGTCTTCACAGCCGTGACCCAGGGTGGCCTAGAGGTGTGGGGAATGGTTGCTAAAGACAGAGAAAGCTCAGCAAAAGGAGACTTCATATCCAACAAAATGCCACAGTGTCATCCTGGTCACCTTCTGCCTTCTAAGACAGACAGGACACTCCAGCCTGTGTCGGAGTCCAGCTTGTCCTGGCTTCCGGGCACCCTGCATGTTTGCTCGCCCCCCTGGAGCCCATGACCAAACCTTTTCTTCCCATCTCGTCTCTTCCCTTGTATCTTAGCTTTTCCTTCTTTTCATCCCAGGCTTTTTGGCCAAGATGGTCTGTGTGCGTCCTGCGACAAGAGGATCCGCGCCTATGAGATGACCATGCGGGTGAAAGACAAAGTGTACCACCTAGAGTGCTTCAAGTGTGCCGCCTGTCAGAAGCACTTCTGTGTCGGTGACAGGTACCTGCTCATCAACTCCGACATCGTGTGTGAGCAGGACATCTACGAGTGGACTAAGATCAATGGGATGATATAGGCCAGAGGCCCCGGGATGGTGTCCGCTGAAGACGCTGGTGCACGGTGTCTTCGCGGCGTCTTCACTCTTAGGCACTGTGGGGATTCGTGGGTGGGGTGAGGCATTTCTGAGGGGATGGTGCAGACGTACGGGGAGCCGAGACATAGCCTCTGGGGGATATAACGCAAGGGCCAAGATTTCAGTGTGACAGCAGGACCAGCTCTCTTAGGACTTCTGGTCACCCCTGTCCGTAGTAACTGACATGAGTAGTGGAAGGAAGGGACATTTAGGGACAAATGGGCACTGCCATCGTGGGCGGCTCTCTCATCCACCAACGGGAGGTGCTGCATACGGACAGCTTCTTAGGATTTTTGAGGCTTGCAAACTAGAGGCACGCAATCGATTTCTTCCTGGCTCCTGTAACAACTCTGTTCCGGTCACTGTCTGTTACGCAAGGGAGGGGCGGGCAGGCGAGCGGCCCTCCTCCCTCTTCTCTTGGCCATCTTCCCAAGGCCTTAAGCTTGGGGCCCCAGAGCAACTGCACAGAGACACATTTCAGTTGGGAATGAAAACCACGACTCTTAACCGAACAGTTATTTAAAGCAATGCTGGGGAATCGTTGTTTTTAGACACCTTAGTTTTGAGGTGAGGAGTTCCAGATGGTTTCTATACGAATGTAAATCTAAGAAATCAAAGTTGTTCAGCTATTTTATTATCTTAGATTATATCAAAGTATTTGTTGTGTGTAGTAAAAAAAAAAAAACCACCTCTGCAGACTTAATAAAAACAACTGACTAAAATGCAGTGCTGTTTCTTTGATGATGACAGTGGGGAAATGGTTTGCTTTTCTATTGTAAAAGAAAAGTAAATAAGCAATTTACTTCTAGGTCAAATAGAAGCTTCCATTTACTGCAAGGGTTTATATAGGTTTCTATATTACTAGCAATTATATAACAGGTCATCACTTAGCTCAGAGGGATGTAGAATAATTAAATTGTTATTGTAAAATGTACGTTTCACTTCGGCATTGTGTAAAGAGAGCAGGAGGCAGCAAGATCATTGCCTTTGGGAAACTTGTAACCTAGAAAGCCCACAAATGCATAAAACAGATTCCCTTTGGGAGACGAGGTAATTACCTAGTGTGAAATGTGGCAAAGATGCTGAGTTTGACACATCGATTTTCCAAGACGTGTGTCTCAGGGTATTTTATGACAAGTGGTTAAGAGGACCTTACTTTTGAGGATTTAAAGCTGGCACCTTTACTTACGCGGTTTCCTTCACCCTGTCCCTGCCGCCGCCCTTGAACTGACTAAGAGCGCCATCTGCTGGTCGCCCTCCGATCAGGCGGTCACACCAAGGACTGACCTCCAGGAAGGGTGTACAGTACTTTTAAATTATTTCATTAAAATATTGGCAACCGCCAAGAAGTCTAAATGTGTTTAATTATCAAGATGTCAGAAACATGCAGTTAAGGCTGCAGTGAATTAACTATGAGAGTTCGCTCAAGTCTCCACCACTAAGACCTTTTTCCTTTTTTTTTTTTGTTTCTTCCAGAGGAGAAATAATGAAGTGATCTCTCTCTTGGCCTGACAAATGCTAAAAGTGGTGGCCTACTTAAAACAAATCCCATTCTGTTGTATCCCAGCCCAGGTGGCGGCAAGGTTCTGCAGGTCAGGGGGAGATTTGTTCTCACTCAGTGGTTCTCAAACTGCGGTCATGGAGCCAGCAGTATTAGCGTCACCTGGCAACTTGCTAGAAACATAGATTTAGGGGTCCCATCTCCAACACACTCAATCCAGAACTCTATGGGTGAGGCTTAAAAATCTGTTTTAATCTGCCCCAAGGGTGGTTCTGACTTATGCTTGATGGTGGTTTTAAATCCTGCCCTAGTAAGGAAGACCCCTTCTTCGAAAAGCGTCTGACAAAAGGTTAATCACTAATTCTTCAACATGTAGACAAGCACTGTTTGCTCATGGGCCCTAAACTGAAAACATTCACATGTTCTTTATGATTGTGGTATTTCCCATGCTTGATTAAGTATCAACATTCACACATCCTTATATCTCAACTAACAGTTGTCTTGGGCCTTATCTGCCAGAATGATCACACTTCCATCCACCACTTTTAACTGCATCAACATTAATAATAATACACTTCAGCTATGCAGTTACACACCATGTTAAGTAAAAATAAAATGATCCTGGCCTTGGGCATGTAAACATTATTCCCAATCCCCACTGTAATATGGTATGGGCAAGATTCAAGAAATCAATCCATGCCTTCACCAATTCTAGACAAAGCAATCGTTGATACTTGCCATTTGTTAATGGTGCCATCTTGCAAAATATGGATGTACAGGCAGAATTTTTGTAGCCAGACCCGCCCCCAGGAGTCCAAATGTCTAATCCACAACTGACTCAAGAGGAAAGATGAAAAGAGATTTTGAGAGGGACCAGCAGCCCAAGTTTGCCCTGGTAGTTCTGAAGGTGTCACCATGTGACTTAGACTCTGTCTTGAGAATAGGGTACCAACTTCCTTCCCTGGTCCATTCTTTGACCTAAGAGTTTTCTGGAAGATTTTGCTCTGAACCAGCTTCCTTTTTTTTTTCTGCCTCTAATAGAATCATGACTTAGACCCTTACAAAGTTAAAATAGAGCAGTAATTCAGAGCTTTGGCATCTCAAGTCTTGGATTTGAATGGCAATGACCAGATTTCACTTACTAAACATTCACACAGCACTCCATGTGTGCCAGGCACATTCCCAGGCTCTTTGTTAACTCCTGGAATCCACAGGACAGCCTACTATGTCAGTTTTTATTTGTTGTCACCAGCTTCAGAAATTGAAGCCCAGGCGGGTTAAATCCCCTGCCCAAGATCCCACAGCGGCAGCTCTGGCCATGCTTCCTAACCCTGTGCCTTACTGCCTTGTCAACTTCATCTCTCCTCACAACAGCTTTCTCATCTGCAAAATAAGGAAAACCAATTATTTTTCTCTCCATATTGAGGATATTAGAGTTCAGTCTAGCCAAACATGTAAACAAAGCACCACAAGTGTGTGGTTAGCACCATAATGAAGCTACGTAAAAAGTGCTGTGGAAACAACTGAACAATCTAATTAACCTGGGGTAGCTATCTGGCTTCAGGAGAAGACATTTGGATTGGTCCAGGACCTGGAACCGGGTGGTGTGGGCGGAAGAGTTGCGGGGAGCTTGACCTGGTGTCTTAGTTACTTTTCCTGTTGCTAAGACAAAATACCTAACATCTACAAGTTAGAGGAAGAAAGGTTCATGTTGGTTCCCAGTTGGTAGAGGTTTCAGTCCATACTTGGCTGCCTTCAAAGTGGGGTGGTGTGGCAGAGGCATCACAGAGGCGAAACGGGGCAGGTAGGAGGCAACAAGCCAAAGGCCTGACTTCTTTCTACCCCGAACTCTGCTAAACCAATTTAGTTGTCACACATCCTAATCTAGCCTCGCACACACACACGATCCCAAAGCCCCACGTATGAGCGCAGGAGGCCATACACTGGCCCATCAAGCATATGGGTGAGCCTGGAGTTTGTGGGTGGTGGTTTGGGCACTGGCTGGTGAGGGGCTGTGGCCCACCGCATGAGGGGTTTCAATTGTGCTTCTCTTGTCTAGCATGCATGGGCCCTTGGGTTTGATCTTTAGCACTGCAAAAATAAATCTGTCACTTTCTGGAGGGATGACATCTATTCCTCAGTTCCTTTACAGGCCTATTACTGTTGCGACAGGCACAGGCCTGGGTCGGAGTGATCTCTGCTGACCTCTTACTTGACCCTGGACCCTCGGCTCAACCCCTCCCCTTCCTGACAGTCTCCTTGGTCTCTTCAGTGGCATCCACTTGCCTGCTCACTCTAGGACTTCGGTGCTGATGAGTCTTCTGAGTAATTGTAGGAAAGACCAGGATTAGGTGAGCTCCTCTTGCGTGGGGGTTGCTGTCTATGTGGTTATCGACGATGCTTCTCCTTCCTCCTGTTGCGGTTTGTGTCGGTTGTTCCCTGACTTCAGTAAGAAAGCGCTGCTAAGCTGGGTGAGGTGGCGGATACCCACAGTCCCAACTACTCGCAGGCTGAGGCAGCCAGATTCCTTGTGTCCTGGAGTTCCAGGCCAGTCTGGGCAATACAGCAAGATTCTGTCTCTTAAGAAAGAAATGGCTGCTAGCTGGGCATGGTGGTGCACCCCTATGTTGGGAGCCATTCTACATAATTTTGGGGAGAAACATTTCACAATTAAGCTACAATGAGGGCTGCCTGAGGCCTCAATAGTCCTGTGACACTCAAGGGCAAGATTACGTCAGCCGAGGACATCCTGGGACTTTGAGAACTGAGTAGTAACACAAAAAGAGAAAGCTTTCACCTGGGGAGAGACAAATTCCTCATCAGCTTAACTCATGCCAACTATTGTTGTGAGAAAGTATTGCTCTTCTCACCTTCCTAAGTAACATTAGATCATGTCACAGGATTACTGCCACCCTCTGAGTCAGCTGACACTCCCTATCAACCAACCCAATAAAGAGGGCAATTCGGAGTGTCTTTGTTTTGCCAGCTTGGAGGCCCTGACCCCCTGGTCCCTTGTATACTTGAACTTATGCAAGTCTCCATTGTCTTTTTTTTTCCATAGCTCTCACCGTCCCCTTTTCTAGGCAGTCAGAGGATTGATTGACCTCCAATATACTTGCAATCCCAATACTTGGGAGGCTGAGGCAGGAGGATTGCCATGAGTTTGAGGCCAGCCTGGCCTCTACAAAGTGATACCTGTCTCAAAAACAAACAAAAAATAAAGAAACTGCTGCTAAACCTCAAGTTCTACAAAGGCAGGGCCACTGTCTCGTTTATCTCCACGTGTCCAGCCCTTAGTACTCCCCTGACACCTGGTAGGCACTGATATGCTATTAAATTTTTTTTAAAGTCTCTTCTAAGCTTTTATAGAATTTGTTGCCCAACACACTCTTTGTTTCATTTTAAGCGTTTTCTTCCCTACAACTTCATTTGGGAGGAAAGTCCTTATCTCAAACCAACGGAGCACAGGGTTAAGAGCCTTGCTTAAACCTACTTCTGTTACTTATTAGCTGCAGGACCTCAGGCAAGTGACTTACCCTGTCTGGGCTTCAGTTTCTGAAGTGGGGCCAATGAATAGAAACTGCCGCAGAGGGCCGTTATGTGCATTCAAGGAGTTTGTAAAGTGCCGAGTTCTTTACCATTACTGACAGAGTGTAGGCCAATGTCGTGCACTTGGAAAAGCAGGAGTAAATATTTACCAGCTGAACTGGTAGGAGAAAGGGATGGTGGGTCAAAAATAGGAGAGATGAGATTTCCACAATTTTCTGACTAAGTGACAAGTCAAAATCAAAATAAGGAACAAACCTCAAGCATCTGTAGGGTGAGGACAAAGGAGGCCAGAATAGTTCGGAACCGTTTTGTTATACCAGAAATTAAAAAGTGCTAATAAAACAACAACCAAAAGAATATGTAGGCATATCACAAGGACAAAGGAGCCGGCTAAAAGGAACTCTCCATTGACCTAGGACAATTTAACTACAGAAAATGAAGGATTGCTAGGCATGGTAGTGCACGCCTATAATCCCAGCGCTCTGGGAGACTGAGGCAGGAGGGTGTCAAGTTCAAGTTCTGCATGGGTAACTTAGTGACTTCGAAAAATCCTGTCTCAAAAAACAAAAAACAGGGCCAGGGATTTGGCTCAGTGGTTCCACCGCTTGCCTTGCAAGTGCAAGGCCTCAAGTTAGATTCCCGGTACCAAAAAAACAAAAACAAATAAA